GTTGTGCAAACGCAGTTAACTACGGTAACGAAACACATTTTGCTGGTTATACGAGCTGGACACACCCACACCTATACACACACACACACACACGCACACACACGCACGCATATATACATATACATATATATATATATATATATATATATATATATATCTTAGTTATGTAGTATAAGCTAACATCTAAAAGGGCTTTCCGTGGAATACTCTCAGAGGATCGCAGCCGCATTGCACCTGTGACGCTAAATGCGAAACTTTAATCTCGCGTCTTAATCGCACTCCTGACGCGATCGGAGCGATATTTCTGGAATTTTGCCGTGCGATTACTTCCTACTTTAAATGCAAAGCTGGTTTTCATAACCGGAGATAATCACGGATTATTTTCAATCTCTGATTAAAAGCGGCATTAATTCTAAATCCGTATTCATGAATCATTATTGAGCTTTTTACATTTATATTTGATGAATCCATGTTTTGCGAATTACTGTTTGAAAACCCTGTCATTACATATTTAATATTTATAGTTGATTAATTTTTGCTTATTGCCATGAATAATTACCATTGATTGGGTTTTGTCAGAGTGGAAATTAATTGTAATCTGTATCGACATTCTCATAAAATCGCTGAAATTATTTCTCTGCTTCTACTTACATTTCGTATTTCGGAATTCTGATCTTTTTACATGCTTATTTTTTTTTGCTATGATTTAAAGAAATATTGCACATTTTTTCAAATGCGTGCGACACATAACTTTCTTCATGCGACTTTAAGATTTCATATGAAATATGCTTATATCTTTTCTCTCTCTTTATATCTAAAGAACTAAAAAATGCGGTTGGAGCAAAACTCTGTTTCTGCATGTTCAGAATCGATATATTCGTATTATGAACTATCTAGAATGACGTATCACTGCGCGAATAGGCAGACGTATTGCGACATCACGTATTACGCAGATGGACACGTACGAGTATATTACACACGAGAAGCTGACATCACGTGCATACCATGTCATTTGATAGATAAGATCTTTACACTATTCGAAGCGAATGATAGAATGCTATACAGCTTGTATTACATTATCTTTTGATCGTTTTACGAATGAAATCAACACATTCTGTCAATATCGATTGTTTTATCACTTCATATCATCGCGCAACACGTAATTCTTTTTGAACGAGTTATTTTTTGTTAAATTTTGATTAATTTTACAAAGATGATAAAAATAAAAAAACGAGATTTATATTGTTAAATTCTTTTGTGAGAAATCATGTATCACTTGAATAAATATTTCCATATATTATAATATAGATATAATATGGAATGTTCATAGACATCTTTAGACAAAAGTATCAATTATAATACGCTTAGAAAATACTTATATTTCACTATATTTATGATATATTATGATGGAGTTGGAAATGAAAAAAGAATATTTTATACGAGAATTAGTTCTGTTCTTGGTGATTTTTAAAAATGAAATCCTTTTAATATATTTATAGCAGCCTCTAAATATATTTATAGCAGTTGTGATTGGATTTTCTAAATCCAAACGAGATTGTCTTGTTCAACTAATTATCCAAACGAGATTATCTTGTTCAACTAATTCTTCATATTGAGAGATGAGTGTCCATTACATCATGCAACATCTGCACCTGATGACTAACGCGACGTAGCTGTTGGCGTATCTCGCTTGCAGACATTTTCTCCTGTAAGTTTGAAGCATGGAGCCTTACTCTGTGGAACAGGGTCAGTTCAAAGGTCGGATACCCTTAGCCAATTTTGCTTCAGTATGCACTCTGTTCTCAGCTTTATACATAACGCTTCAGTTTCATACATCAGTTATCGACTATCGAAATGTCAAACGTAAGCACTGTCAGTTATCAGAAAAGAGAGATGTCGGATAAAGTTAAATAAAGAAACTTGACACACACAAGATAGAAGAATCATTTATTATGCGCTTTACGGACATTTCCTTTTAAGTCTACTAAAGAGTCTACATAAAAGAGTCAGGAAACTTTAATTGACAAAAGGATATAGAGCTTGCTTTGATAATGGATACATTTTCCGCGAATAATATTTTTTTTCGTCGAAAATTGAGATAAATTTTCCAAAATTTAATTCTCTGGTTTGTTTCGTGCAATTTGTGAAACTCGTATATTACTATATATTGTACAAATATTTGTAGCCAAAATATATAGTTGAAAAAAAACAAATACATAAAATATAAACAAAAATGCATAAAAATGATTTGTTTTGTGGCATATATCAAACAGTATGCTTGTTGGCGCATAATTGGCCAATCCTTTTGCGTGCGCACGTCACGTTTTCGCGTGACTCGTGATGCCGTCTGTTCTCTATCGTGCGCATAAATATCGCGCGTTGGTGTCGTAAAAAGATGACTTGCCGTCCGCCTGCCCGCGTACGCTGCCGCACCTAAGTGGTAAACTTGTAAGTGGCGAAATAAAGTTGGGCAGGGTTCCGCGCGCGCGCAGGGTACCGTGTCTGTGACAGTTTAATTAATATCTTTCATCCTCAAAGGAAAAACTTGGCGAACTAACCGGCATGGACCGGGTCGCAATGCCGAGCCGGTTAGAACCACTTCAACTTCGGACGCGACGACGATCTCCCGCCAACGACAACGCGGCTCCATTCTTCTCTCGCTCCCGTTTAGTTTTCTCGACTTGCGATAAAGTTTCGTGTAGTTCCTTTTTTTTTGCGTTTCGGACAATTTTGCGTTTTGACGTTACCGAACGGTGAGATACGCACGACAAGAAGTCTCCTTGACGAAGTTCCTCTTGGGAAGAATATGGCAAATGTCAAATCACCTTTACTTGATTTCTTAATCTCTCTTGGAGAATAAATTTTAAAAATATTTATAACGTATATAAACATTTAATTGATAATTAACATAGAAATAGTTTATCAAAATAGTACAAATATACAAATATTACAAAAATGCAATAGCTCGATATATTTAATATAAATAATAATTTTAATTATGTTTTCTCATTTATCTCTCTATCTTCTCTCTTTATTATTCGCGTAGATGTTATAATTTATATTTTTATGTGAAATATAAAATGCTTGCGTTATTTTTTTACAATGTCGGCGATTAAAAGAGAGAACCGTACACCCTCGGTTCGACACGCATAGATTTCCCAGTCGCGTATCTGTGAATGCACTGGCGATTAGCTTTATAAAATATCGCGGCAGATAATGCGTTCTCGGCTGCAGAAACTGTGAAAGAGAGAAAAAAAATGAAGGTGATCTCTGACGGTGTGTAAGCCGCGACTTATGAACAATCCGCAAAAATAAACGGCAATGAAATCTGCATGCATCGAGTTTGCTCGGCAAATTCGCTACTATATTCAACGTCGACACGGGGATGATACACTCTTTGAAGTGCCTCGTGAGCTTTTATAAGCTCATGACGTATTTACCCATTAAACTAAATTCGAGTATTTTCGAGCTTACGTTGATATTATGGTTTTCAGAGAACATTCGGGAAATTGATGCAGAGTCAAAAGTGAAATGACAATGGGGCTTTTGGGGTATTTGCGAAAAGCCGTTTATATCATCCGTTTGCGAATATGAGAAAATCGCATATATTTTGCATATGTTTTATATTTATGCTAATATATAATAGTAAATGTAGTTTCGCCATCGTTGGAATGCAATATGTTCTATTAATCTTCTTTTCACTTTTTTTCTTATCTATTTTTCTCTCTTTCTCTTTTTGCAATTAATGTGAAACTCTTGTTGCGATTATTTAAATCCTAATAAGAGTTGAATTATTTTTGAAGGTATTTTTATTCATTTAAAGCTGTTAAAACCCTGTGTTTTTGTATCGAGTCGAGATTTGTGTGATGATATTTTTCTTCTTTTCTTCACCAAACATTATCGGGCTTTATGATAAAGGCAGACAACGTATCGCCGAGGCAACACCGTATAAATCCGCCACGTATAGATAATATTTCACAATGCATTATTCAGATTTTGCACAAAGCTTTATATGCTTCGCGGGAAAGCTCTTCAGACGTCGCGGAGTAGATATCCGTTCGTGTCGGAAACATGTGACGTTATAGCGTTTATTTACGACTTGGCAGCAAAGAAACCCTTCGATTATTGCCGGTTAAATATGTTTAATCATGGACATGAGTAAAACATATGATTTTTTTCAAATAAATGAGACACTGCGTATTTTTTGAAGAAGGTACATATTTATAGCTACTGGGATTGAGGTTTAGAAAAAACATAATTAAGATTTAAAGATTAAACCGAAACATCGATAGACCGAAAACAAACTCTTTTTACATATTTTAGCTTGATATATTTTTATATTGAATTATTGTTTTTTTCTATATAGATCAAGTTTTAATAGCGATTGGGAGAAGCATCTAATATTTAAGGACTCAATTGAGATCATTTTTGTTGATCAAGTTTAGCAATCGATTAATATGACAGAAATATTTGTTACAACATTATTTGGATAAACAAATATTAATATTATTAAAAGATGTTAAATATTAATTAAGTGAATTTTGTTATTAAATAATGTTCTGTATTGTGTAAAACAATGTAAAACAATAACGCTTTGTTTTTTCATTTTGTACATTGTAAACTAATTTCTAAATTATGCAGAGATGAAAAATAATTTATATTCACGACAAATTATAATTTATGCATTATATAACTTGGATAAAACGACTAATTTTGTGAATTTTATTGTACATATAAGTCGAAAGATATTCGAAAGCTAAGTATTTTCTCTGATCATCAATGTTTATCGTATTGAGGAGAACTCTACCGAGAGAGAAATTAAAAGACATTTGGAGCGGCGAGTGTCCTTTATTTTTCTATTTCCGGCGGTAATACGGGATATTTGTTCGCGAGCATTCCTCGGCGCGTGCCATTAATGTTGACGGGAGTCTCCCGCAAGCAACGTGAAAGAGCGAGGAAAGGAACCGGCAATATGCAGATGAGTGTGTATAGCTATGTACCTGATAGCGTCGGATTCGTCGCGGACGAGGGACCGTCCTGGCGCATGGCGTCACTGGTAATTGCCGTTCCGCCGAGATTGGTGCTGTAGTCTTCGAGAAGTACGCAGCACAGTAATAGCCGTGCCACCCTCATTCTGAAAGAACGAAAGAAAAGCTGAACGATAACGACAAACTTGTGCTCTTTCTGTCTCATTTTCCCATCTCTCTGTCTTTCCCTCTACGTATCTTGGATTTTTCTACGAGAAAATTTCTCGTACAAGTTATTGCGTTTATTGTGTTTAGGTCCGATTAACTGATGATAATTGTTATAAAATGCAATATATATGATAGGTTTCTCCATCACATGTGAATATATCCCATAATTATTAACATTTAAACGTTAGTTAGTTAATTAATTAAATATAATTAATTAATTAATTAATTAAATTATGAAAGAGTAACACAAATTGAAGCCGAATGATAACAACGCATACGCGAAATGTTTGCAAATTATTTCAATGTTTGAATGTATTAAAATAAACATTTAAAGATGCATTCAAAGGCGAAACTTTATATTACATATTATGTTTTGGAAGCATCGAAGCTTTTATTATTCGAATTAAAATAGATTTTATGCATAATAAATTATGTAAATATCTTTTGAAAATTGCAAATTTGTTTAAAAATATTTTCACATATTTCATGCAAACTATAAAATATATTTTATCCATATTCTACTTTCGATTTATATATCAAAAATCGATTTATAAAAGCTAATTTTAATAAAGCAATTAATATAACGTACAAATAATGTATATAAAGCACACAATATAATATATTATTGATGATGATATTATGAGTTTATGATTTCAAAAATTTCTTTAAAATCAACACATATGCACACTCATGCAGAATATTCCTTTATACCTGCACATGTTGAAATTTAACTTTTATAATTATTATACATTTATATTTATAATTTTACTATTATTTAATATCACAACATTTTAGATAAAATGTAAAGAAAAAGAAATAAATGAGAATCTTATCATATTCCAAAATAAAATTCCGTGAAAAGTTATTGAAAAGATATATATATATATATATATATATATATATATATTTATATTTATATTTATATAATATTAATGATCAACTGCATCGTTGTTCGTAATGCAATAACGCGACAAAAGAGAAAGAAAGGAATTATTAAAATAATAAAAATAATCTTAAAAGTTTGAAAGAATGGAGAGACTTAAAAAAACAAAACATATAAGAGCTGAAAACTATAAATTAAACTAAAAGTAAAAAGAGAGGAACGACTCATTTAATCGGCCGTGCCTATCGTGAGAAAACGAAGCTTCCAGTGGGGGGATGAAGCTACCTCCAACCACCCTCGAACCGCCGAAGGCGGGCGAACTGGTTAACGTGTGCGAGAACTTTTCTCACGCTCCATACTCTCTTGTGTCTCTTTTAGTCCCTTTTTTCGTCGTTTTGCGCGCTTCTCCTTGTCTCCTTTCGATCGATACATTTGTCAAGCGACGTATAAACGCTACTAAGTTCACGGCAATTCCATATAATGTACGTGCCCGAGAAGAATCGGCCGCTAAAATGTTTCATCGGACTTGGATCGTATATCCTAGATCTTAGAAAAAGGGATCGTTCGTCCTTCATCGTTGTCCTTCGGGGAAACACGCGCGGGACAATTATATTTTATGCCATCTTGTAAATAACTATCTTTGCCATTTAATAGCAGAGTTCAGTTTGTGCACGAGATGAAATTGAACGCTTCTCCTCGTGTACTTGTATGCCGCGAGTAATTGTTCTTATTTACAACAGGAATAAATGAAAACTCTTCTCCTCGTACACATTTTATCTCTTTCCGTAATCTCGTTATCCTTTCTCTTTCTCAGGACTCTTCTCCTTTTTTTGCTCTCTGTCAGTCTTCATCGTCCCTCTTTCCGCACACCAATGTCAGATTATGGACTCTTTGTCCTATCTCGCTTACGCGTGATCGATGGTCCTCGCGGGCTGGGATGAACTGAAAGATCTCCCGGCGAAAGCATCGTGATTTCGAAAGATTCCTCTATCTCTGTTCCCTCCCCCTGGTCAAGAAATATCTATGATATTATCCCATTGACTATTTTTGCCATTTTTGTATCGCATTGAAATATTCTCATTTTCGAATATCTTTGTCGAGATATTTTCATCGTTGTCATTCCCGTCACCCGTCTTCTTCTGCTCTTAATTTCGAGCTCACTTTCCAACTGGTACTTCCCTCAGGGTTCTTTTACCTCTCGAGTCTTTAGAAGCAGCTTCTCCTCTTGCAATTTTATATGATGGAAGTCAAAGGAAAAACCCGGGGCCAAGCTGTTAAGCTCAAATTTAGTTTCCCGGCAAAAATCTTCCCGGTTATTTGCACATAAAGAAATATTTCGGATCGAAAGATTTTATTTTCATATTTTATTTCAGATTTCGATCTCTTCTGCTTCTTCGCCTCTTCGACTTTAATCCGGCACATTTGGTAAAGTAAAATCACGACGTATATCTCGATTGCGATTGATCTTGCGCAATAAATTCAAGCATCTTATCCTAGCGCTATCCAAGATATCTGCTTTTTATTATATTTTTTTTATTTTATGAATCTGCTATACGATACGGACGGAATACTTTTACGTTCCATCTAAGGACAGCATATATATCTCTCGGCAACATCTCAATTCGATAAGATACGAAAGAGAGAAATCCGAGGTCGCGCGCGCCGAAGAGGACTTGATTTATTCGAGCACAGCGAAAATCTTTTATTCCTCAATTATCGCCGCGTGAAAATATTTTAATCCGCACCACGGAGTTTAATTCTCGCTCCATTTCCGCTGCTGTAATTTCCGCGACTCTCGATATCTCTTTTTAAAAATATTTTTTCTGTCTATCCTTATGTCTATGCTTTGATTGAATGCATTTTATTCTTCCACACGTCTTTATTGAATTTTTATTATCACGATTCATCAATTTACTTGCTATATTATTGACGTGCATTTTTACTGCTCTCTCTCTCTCTCTCTCTCTCTCCCCTCTCTCTCTCCCTCTCTCTCTCTCCCTCTCTCTCTCCCTCTCTCTCTCTCTCTCTCTCTCTCTCTCTCTCTCTCTCTATCTATCTATCTTTATTTCTTTTTATTACTTATTTTTGATATTGCAATAGCCAACATCATTGCAATCGCTTACTACGAAGGTAATTTTCTACGAGGCGCGAAGTAAAAGCTTTGCATCTATTAAATCTGACTTTCATCATTATCGGAAACCGTCTACTGCGAAGAGATTGGCAATATCAACACTCCATAAAAACACGATACGTCGTTATACAAATAAAATATTATCTTTTATACTCTTAAGCGTGTTTACAACTATGGCCTGTTTGCTCGCAAACAATCGCCGTAGAGAGAAGAGCCAAGCAAAGTTAATGCCGATCTGGAATACCAATTCTACTATATGGCAATGCGATAGAAACCGCGGGAAAATGTTAAAATCCGAGAAACGTTAAACGAGAAATACGAATCGCGGAGATTTATATGCAACCAAATTTTCCTCCCGCGAACGTAAATTTACTTCTCGCTGTGTGGAATAATGACTATGAAAGTTTTCTGTTCTCTCGTTTCACTGTTGGAATTTCAGAATTTTCCAAAAAAGGATTAGTACAAGGGAAAAGTTCCGTACATACGTTTCTTCTAAGTCTTTTATTCAATACGCTAAAAAAATTTTTAAATTTAAGGTATAGTAGAAAAAGATAGAAAGAGGAGAGAGAGAGAGAGAGAAAGTCGGAACTGTATGCTATATGCGCGAATACTCACATATATATATATAATAACAGTATTTTTATAAATAGATATTATTAATATGGTTATTATTAATATTACTAGTATGGATATTATTAGTATTTTTATAAATAGATAATATTTATAATGAAAAATATGGTTAATGATATAAAATAATAAGATATATAAAACAAAATGATTTTTTTATTTATATTCTATTTATATTTTAACGGAAATTGGACCATACTGGATATATATTATCATTGCTTCTAAAATTTACATAAAAATTCGATAATCTGTTTATCTAATATTACATTTCTCTAATTAAATATAGAAAAGAAGGAAAATCAAAATAATAAAATTATTGATATGAATTATTGATTAGATGTGAATAGTTCATTTTTTGTTTTATAATTTAGAACAGAAAGATTAATTTAGTTCACTCGAAAGATATCTTTCGATTTTTTCTCAGAAAAAAAAGAACTTTAAAAAATAGAGAAATCGATTTAATGTTATCATAACATACATATATAACTCTGAAACTTTCATATTCAGGAATACATATTCAATATTTTAATAAGTTTCTTACTCGTAATAATCTTTCTTTTGTTCCGACTAAATTTTGACTTAAAATTCCTGTAGTATTTGTACGTGAACGATTTATCATTCCGTGTCACGATCAATACAAGATTTGGCAGATAATACGTAACGACTGCTATAAAATATGATGAAATGACAACGCGAAACACGAGGGAGACGCTAACCCGAAGTATGACATTGATACCTATCGCGCGAATACGAATAGAAAATATAAAAAGTGATGTATGACGAAAGAATTTACCGGTTTAGTCGCCGGGTTTAAACTGTCGTTCTTTCTAATAGTCATTCTTTTTGATCCGCTCGTTGATCCTCGCTCGATAAATCGTGTCACTCGAAAATCGCATTCGAGCCGAGTTAATCGTGTCCGAAACGACGTTGCGGAAAAACTCCCGGACGGCTGATCAATTTACCGAGAGACTTTATCTCAGCGGCGATTCTCAATAATCTTTTTTCTTATGATAATATAGCCCGTCAAATGCGGCGGATTTGATTTCGTCCGGAGATCTTCGCGATCTGCGATCTCTCATACCGACGACGTTATATCACTCCTGAATGATTTATTCCAGCTATTGCACCGCACCAAATCGCTCTTTCCCTCTCTGGCTGTCTTTTATAATGCGAAGAATAATTCCAGCATATAATATCGCAGACAGACATATGTCTGCTTTATGAGTGACCGGCATTGTGAGGAAATGGATTAATTCGAGTATGAAGCAGATCGCGCATAAATATCATTTCATTTGAATAGAATTGCTCTAAATATTTTGCAATGATGAATTTGTATAATCACATCACGTTGCGCGACATTTATAATCATGAAGAAACATTAAATCGAATTTCGAAAGATGTAATAAAAATACATAATAGAAATATATGTTTAACATTTCTAACAAATTATTTGACAAAATTTTCTGGATAATTTCTTCATCGTTGTATTTTATTAGAAATATTTATATTTATTTAATATTTCGTAATTCGCATAATTAAAATATTAATGTAATTACTTTCATTTTGTGGTTTATATGTGTATCTTTTTGATAAAATAATCTTAATACTTTTTATGATCAATTTTATTTTCTCTAGACATGCACGCTTTCAATTTTTTTTAATCTGATGAATGTAAACGTAATTTTTTTTATGAGATCAATGTGAATTTATTTTTAATGCATCTACGAAGTATCGATAATGTATGCATTTAGTGCATTATCATAATTAAAAACTTACCTTTCTTCAATAAAAATGAAACATGATTAATTTTTTTATTTGATAGATATAATTATAAGAGAAATTTTTTCAAGTCATACGTGCATATATGTAAAATTAACAAGAGAACTTTATTTCGGTTAAACTGTTTAATTAGTTTATCTGTTTGTACATAATTTCATATTTTAATTTAACAAATTTAATTTAATTTAAATTTGTGGAATAATTAAGTATATTTAATTATGTAATATGAAGAGAGTCATCTTCTAAATATTATGATAAAAATGATAAATTTATAAAGAAAAAAATCATTTTGTTTACAAAAATGTAGAAAGTGATCACCGTATATAAGATATTAATGACATTATTTAAAAATTTTTATCAACAATAAATTTATATTTTTATAAATTTATAATTTTAAATATAGATTTAATAATAATTAACAGTAATTTAATAATAATAATAATTTACAATTTATCTAATTTAGAGAATATAAATACGCTGCTAGAGTCATTAGCCAATATATTTATAGATTTTGTCTTGTAGGGCGTTATAAATAAGCGTATCTTTCTATTTCTCGTACATTTTTTACTTTTCTTCTGTGTTTGTCATACGAGAAGCACGTTCGGTATGCGGGTTATAATGGGAGAAAAAAAAAGTATCTAAGGTACAGCACCCACGCATAAATGTGAAATATAGCGCAATAACTCACATCTTGCGTAAAATGCTCCAAAATGTCCTTTTAATAATATCGTTTACGTTTAACGTTGCAGTAACATAGGTTTTACCCGTGTTTGTGTCGACTGATTTTTATTTGAGATCCCAGTTGAGTCATGTTCTGTATCGAGACAATTTATCATGAAAAAAAAGAAAAATGCAGCTCTATTATAATTGATGAGTTAACGGACATAGCTCTTTTTCCTTTTTTTATTTCAGTTTCACACCAGACACACATAATGTATCATCAAAAAATTATAAAAATCACTCGCGCCTATCGACACAATAAAAATTGCTTAGATGTCAAATTCACTTCGATCAGACCGAGAGAATCCATGTTTTCGAACATTACTCGCCATTCCGTTGTGATAAAAGTCCGTCGGAAAAAAAGCGTAATTTAAGGATAAATTATTTCGTTATCGAATTTTATGAAAGAAAAATTTTTAATAACTTCGTCGAAGAATATTACCTCGCGAAAAAAGTGTAGCATTATAGTAGCAGGAGTATGACACGACGCGCCATACGCGCGTATCCTTTTCTTTCACTTTTCTCTTCTTGTCTCTCGCGAATTTTATACGATTACCGACGATACGACACCCGCGCTATTAACGATAGTTCGTGCGACGATACTATATCTTCATCGTCAGACGCATCCCCGGACGTCGAGACGCGTGTACTGACTGCGTCGAGTTGGCCGCGTCGTCGAGCGAGTCGAGAGAGCGGCGTCGGGACGTTCGCCGTGATGGGAAGCGCTCAACCCTCATGGCGCAGGCCCGCAGGACGGTGTCGCTTTTCTTCTTTCTCTCTACCTCCCTCTTTCTCCTCTCTCTTTCCGCCTTTCTCCCCTTTTATCTTACTCTCTTTCTCACTCCATCGTTCGCATCGTTGGATATAATATTCAATTTATTATGTATCTTTGATACATGCGGACCGTCGCGCCGGAAAAGTGGGAGGCGCGAATACACGACAGCCACAGGCTGCCGGCTCTCCTTCCGGGGAAAAATAGAATGAAGAAAAATATGAAGAACGAGCGAGAAAGAGAAAAAAAAGAGAGAGAAAGAACGAGGGGACATGGTTGTGGAGGAGGTGAGAGGTAGTGATGGAGGAGACCGAACAGAACCGGCAGCGTTCCGCTCGAGGGTGAATTGTCGAGATATTGTCGATCGGGCAGCTCGCCCCTCGATAAAACGTCTCGGTCAAAACGTCCTCCTTTTTGGTGCTCGACCGGCTGACGAGCGGAAGAAAGAGAGATCGAGACTGAACGAGCCGACTTGACGAGCCGATCACTATGTCAAAGATGAGGGAATGAGAAAAAAGCACGACGGTGACAACGATGACGACGACGATGCCAATGACGTGTCAAGGGATCAAACTGGATGTAATCGTGCAAATTCGTGCTCGCTTGTTTTCTCGTTAATCGACGGACAAGTCTCTGAAACGGATAGTAATTTCGAGAGATTGTAGAACAATTTTGTCACGATTGATAAATCTGGAGAAGTCGAGGGGATAATTGAAAGAGGATTCCAATTCGTACGTGGTTTCAGCAATCACAATTAATCGTTCGCCGATATTAATCGGAAAAGTAAATGTCGTATGTTAGGAGAATATATTAATCTGATAATTGGAATCTATATAGAATACGTTTTTTTTTCAAATTTTTTTGTAAGATACCTTTAAAAATTTTTAAAAATAGGGAGAAATGAATCGTACAAAGGGAATTTTTTTAGAAAGATAATATAATGATGTAACGTTATATTCGTAATAAAATTTTTAGATTTGTTATCTCAGGAAATGTAAAGCAAAATAGCTTGTCTATCACGAGCTTGACTCACTTTTCATCACTGTGAAAATTTATTTAGCAGGAGTTAAACGGTGCTGTAAAGATACGCCAAATAGGACGGAACTAAAGATAAAAGCAATACAATTAGCTATTCATTCAGCTTATTAAAAGTTATTAAGAAGTCAAGGTATCGCGAAATATTTACTTTCAATTCAAGATAATCGTCGTCTGTTGAAAGCTTATTTTCAGCTGAAAATCTTTAGGAAGAAAAATAAATGTATTTCATTTCGGGATATCGGATTTATATTTCTTCAGCGGTACGAGCGTATTTTCTGGACAATCTCATGCAAAGTTAAATAGTTGTTGAAAAAATATTTCTCTCTCTCTCTCTCTTTCATTTTTTTCATCATAAATTATATACTACTTACAATGCAATTCCTCTAAAAACTCTTTGAATTCTTTTAAAAAATTATAAAATATCAAAGTGTTTAAACAAATGTCACTCATTAAGAGCTAAATTTTTATCTTAAAAAAAAGAGCTAAATTAATATCTTGTGTTTTCGAATAAATTATTATAAATACATTTCTCTTAGTATGACTGATGATATTTTTGATAAATGCTTATTATGTTCTGTGTATTTTATCAATTCCTCACTGACGAAATAAGACAATTAATTGTAATATTATTACTATAAACGATACTTTTATTTTTAGTTAATCGGAAAAATTTCTTAAAAACAGAGCTTAGTTTATTGTAAAATATTTGAGATTCTTTTAAGCATATTTCAGTTACTAATGTTGTAGGTAACGTGGGAGTAATAAGTTAATTGAAATACACTCTCGACAATGAAATTATGTCAGCGGATTAGATAAAAGTACGGGATGGTATAAGTACACCTTGGCGCAGTACAAGGTGTTGGAGGCGCATGAAAAATCGTGAAAATTTTTTCTAATATCGTAACACGAGGCGTACCAAGGTACAAAGGCGCGTACTTGCGAGGCATAAGGTTGGAATTTATGAGAGAAGAACATTCCCAGGGATAGTGCCGCGGCTTCCTCCTCCTCCCTTCTCTTCTCTTTCTCCTTCTTCTGTTCTGGGCGGCTCCTCAATTATGACAGTGAGAAAAAGTACACATTAAGGGGATTGCTCGGGGGTGGCTGAAGCAAGCACATGCATAGCGCGCTACAAAATTGCCGCTTAAGCTGCAGTGGGCGGTGATAAATGTAGAAAGGTTAGAAGCGCATTTTGACGGGAGGAAAAGAAGAAAAAAAATAGAAGAAACAGAGAGAGAAAAAGAAAGAGAGAAAGAGAGAGGATGGGTGACCCTACCACGAAAAGCTCGATGTGCTTATTAAAAGAAAGGCTGATGAAGTGCAAGCCGAGCATCCCTCTCATCTTCCCACCGCGCTCGGTTGCTTCATGATGCAATGAGATTAACCGTATTCATTTGTGATGCTCTTCGTTTTCCCTCTCTTGGTAGAGATTGAGAATTTTTTAGGTCGTGCTCTTCAATCATAAATCCATTAAAAACCTAACAACCATCGTGCGAGCGCGTGTGTGGGAATGTATCTATATGTATGTTGTAAGGTATGGGTCGTGTGACAAATGCATTAACTTTTAATAGGAGCCCTCTCCGCGGGTGAAAACAATGCTTCGAACTGATTTAACGTTGGCGATAATTGGACGCTCGATATCAGGAGTAACGGCCAACTTTTTTGCTGCCTGATTTAATATTAGCGGTAGATGTTCGTTCGCGTTCGTGGGGCTAAAGGTGAGAGTGGGGGTGGAAGGGGGGAGGAGAGGCTACATGGCGCTGGTAATTATCGAAAAAACATACTGCAACTTCGACCTCAATCTGACCAGGAGTAATGGCTCGTTACCTCGAAAACGACGCTTCGGAAGCCTCGCGCGAGACCGGAAGCACGAGTGATGCGCTCTGCATCGTTATGCAACGACGTTCATGTTTCTGATTTCATTGTTATTTGACAAGCAGAGAAACTTTAGTGTAAAGAAAAATTTTTTAGAGAAAAACCTGTCGATTCACAGTATTACGGATGCATTTTCAAAATAAATGAAAAAGAGAATAAATACATATAAATTAAAAATTAAAAATTTATATGAAATTTATATGAAAAATAATATAAAAAAATCTTTCTATTTAAACAATTTTTAATTAAAAATATACGCTAACATTATTTTTTCCTCGTAATTATATTTGAGAGATTTTAGTTGGATTTATTTTGTAATTTATACAATCTACTTTCTTGACTCTGATGAGATATAAATATATCAAAATCGATAAAAGTGCGCATTTCTTATTCTTTTTAATTTTTTTACTCATAATTATTTATCTTTATGCTGATTTTACAAAATTTGCGATAATTTAATAGACTATACATGAATAAAATGAAGCGTGAATGCTTGTGTTTTTTTTCTTTATCGAGAGAGATGCTTCGAAGAACATGAATGAGGATATTAGATCGTATGAATAAACTGCAGCAAATGCTTTTGCCTTTATTCATCGAAGGAAATGCTTCGAGAAATACGAATGAAAATATCGAAGCACATGCTTATTTCTCGAAGGCAAAGCACTTCCTTTTCTACAAATAAAGAAGTTGCGGCGCATGCTGTATAAACGTATAATTGAGAAAGGAGAGTCCTTACTATCTATGAAACATGTATATAAACGCAAAATAATATATGTTAAAGTACAAATTTATACAAATTTAATACATATAAACTACATAAACTATAATATGATATGAAATGAATGTGAATATGATGATCTTTACTCTTATGCATATATTATAATATAATAAATGTATTACAAATTTTATAGTGTCAGATTAATAATTTCCAAACGTAAAATAGCAATGACAAGTAAAATTTACATATTGTTCAAACTGAAAAGCATTTGAATTATGCTAGATAAAAGAATTGATTATAACTATGGCCGGTGTTTTTTTTTCATTTTAATCTATGACATAGTAGAGAGTATACATATTTATCTATGCGCCATAATCTATGCGATACATGTATAATATGTATATGATATAAATGTATATATATTAGTGAAGCGAATTTTTTTTTCGGGACAGGGACGACAGTGCACATTGAGTCTTCGTATTTGACAAATCAATATTTGTGGAAATTCGATAGAGTTCTGGTGCTGAAATAGTGTAATTAATCGTAAGTACACTAAACTTGTTATATGATATTGCTATTGCTAATATAAAGATTTTATTTAAAATTCCGTTTAAACAGCATTTATCTTAATAATAAAATAAATACTTTTATTTCTTTATCTTTATTTAATTAAGATAATTAATGAATAAATCTTCGTGATCATATTAATATATTATAGATATTATCGTGGTTATTATGCTAATAAATAGTTTTAATAGCACATAAAGTAAATAGTTTTAACATACTTGTTTTATTGAAAATATTCAGAATTCGTTTGCAATTCGCGAAAAAGACCAGAATCAGTCAAAAGCTCAATTTCAATGCGTGTTACGAGTCTGTAATTAGCTAATTAGATATTTTATCGTTTCCGGTATCTATAATTAGGAAAATGACATGTGTACCAAATGCAATCGCTGAAACTGCAAAACATATATTACATGTGTAACCACCGTATTTTGGTTCCAATTGAATTAAACTATATTTTGGTTTCCCACTGCCCGTATGAAGTACCGCAAGCAAAAATTATTATAAAATCGAGAATCTTTGTGCTATTCAAAGTTCTTTTTTATGTTAGGGAAATTATAAAATATATGAAATGACGAGAATAATAATGATCAAATAGGAATCAATAAAGAATCAATTTTATGAATCAATAATTATCATAATTCGACGTAAATTACAAGAAAATAATAATAAAAACATATAGGAAAAAGGATATAATTTAAT